GGGGGGGGGGGGAGCCTGCTGGGCAGCTCTGCCTTCTACTCTGGACCAGCGGGAAGAGTCATAACTTCTCTTGCCTTCCATGTCCCCACCAGGACCAAAGACTGATCCTGGAGCGCCTGCAGGTCGTGTATACAGTCGGCTACTCCCTGTCCCTGGCCACGCTGTTGCTAGCCCTCCTCATCTTAAGTTTGTTCAGGTGCACCCCCAGCCTGGGTGTGGTGGGCCTCAGTTTACACACTAAGTTGGGAGAGGGGGTGGGTCTAGGGGAAGGGCTAGGGGGATGGTGAAAGGACCTCTGGATGACTGAGGACAGCTCTTCAGGGACTCTCAGCCCTTTCCTTTCTCCAATCATCCAGGCGGCTACACTGCACTCGTAATTACATCCACATGAACTTGTTCACGTCTTTCATGCTGCGGGCAGCGGCCATCCTCACCCGAGACCGGCTGCTGCCTGCACTGGGCCGCTACACAGAGGATCAGACTCTTACCCTGTGGAGCCAGGTACTCCATCTCCTCCTTCCTGGTGGGACCAAGACGTTTCCTGTCTGCGAGCGTACCTTTCCTCATCACTGTGTACGAGGGTATGGGAGCAGGATGGGAGGGGAAAAAAAAAAAAAACAATGGGGAGAAGCCGGGTGGTGGTGGCGGCGCAGGCCTTTAATCCCAGCACTCGGGAGGCAGGCTGATCTCTGTGAGTTCAAGGCCAGTCTGGTCTACAAGAGCTAGTTCCAGGACAGGCTCCAAAGCTACAGAGAAACCCTGTCTCGAAAAAAACCAAAACCAAAAATCCAATGAGGGGGATTTGGAAGGTACCAATTTGTTCCTGGATGGGGAGGTGAAACTCAGGGCTGTCAACAGATGTGTAAAAATAGGACTTTAATAATTTTTGAAAAAAATGTGAGGGTCTTGGAGGAGAGCCCAGTGCTGGGAAAATGAAATGGAAGACTAAGCGTCATCCATCCAGGACTAGAGAAATGGCACAGTGGTAAAGCGCACAAACCTCTCATGCAGAGGACCCTGGTTGGATTCCCAACACCCACACGACAGCTCACAACCATCTAACTCCAGTTCTAGGGGATCTGTGCTCTCTTCTGACCCTCATGTGATGCAGAGATATGCACACATGCAGGCAAACACCTCTATACAATAAATAACAGCAACAAAAAAAGCACATCTAGATGGCTCAGTGCATAAAGGCACTGGATAGCAAGCTTGATGACTCAAGTTCAATCCCCAGAACCCACGTGATGGACAAAGAGAACCAACTCCTGAAAGGTCTCTGCTCTTCCTGCACCTGTGGTCACATAGCCTGGCATTTAAATTTTTTTTTCTTTGACACAGGGTAGCCCTGGCTGTTGTGAAACTCACTCTGTAGACCAGGCTGGTCTTGAATTCAGAGATCCACCTGCCTCTGACTCCCCAGTGCTGAGATTAAAGGCATGTGCTGCCACTACCCGGCAACATTCAAATTTTTTATTTTTATTTTATGTGTGTGACTGTTTGCCTAAATATATGTATTATATGTAAATGTGTGTGTGTGTATGTGTGCACACCAAGAGCATGTCTGGTGCCCCCAGAGGCCAGAAGAGGGTGTCAGATCCCCTGGAACTGGAGTTACAGATAGTTGTGAGCTGCAGTGTAGGTACTGGGAACTGAACCCGGGTCCTCTGGGAGAGCAGCCAGTGCTCTTAAGTGCAGGAGTTCAGTTCTTAGGAGCTAGGGTGGCAAAGGTTATTTATTGGGATTCTATGGGTATTCCACTGTGGAGATGAACTAGACAACGCCAGTTGTGTAGTGTGTCAATGTGGGAGAGTCCGTAACAGAAAGGGAATAAGGTGAGAAAAACCATCTGCTAGGGACCCATAAGAAAACATCTGAAACCAAGAAAGATGGAGCCGAGCCCTGTCTGGTCAGAAGCTCTTGTAGTCCCAGGAATGTGGGAATCTGAGTAGAATTGACATTTTAAGACCCTATTGGGTTACAGAGCAAGTTTAAGGACAGCCTGGACAATGTATTGAGATCCTGACTCAAAGAGAAGAGTGATGAATGTAACCCAGTTGTAGAGCCCCTGCCTAGAATCCCCCAGTGAGGGGCTGGGGTGTGGCTCAGTGGTCGAGCCCCTGCCTAGAATCCCCCAGTGAGGGGCTGGGGTGTGACTCAGTGGTCGAGCCCCTGCCTAACAAGCAGGAATCCCTGGGTTCAAGACCTACTACCACATACACGAAGGAATGCACACAAATAATAAAATAGACATGAGGCTGCTGGTGAAAGAGTTGGGGATACCTCTCTGCCTTGACTTCTCTTGTCTGATGGCTCCCTAGGCCCTGGCTGCCTGCCGCACGGCCCAGATCGTGACCCAGTACTGCGTGGGTGCTAACTACACCTGGCTGCTGGTGGAGGGTGTGTACCTGCACCATCTGCTGGTGATCGTAGGAGGCTCAGAAAAGGGCAACTTCCGCTGCTACCTGCTTCTTGGCTGGGGTGAGCCCTAACTCCGTGCCCTCCAACCCTCTGTCCAGCCCAGTGCAACTCGCCCCCCCCCCATTGTCCCACCGATCCGCGTTGCCTTCCCCTCCCACCCCCTCGTTGAAGAATTCCGCGGGTCTTGGGCCTGGAAAGGGGCTCGTGTGCACGCTGACAGCTGCGGCGGGGTGGGGGGCGGGGATCGGGGTCTGCACAGGGGCCCCCGTGCTTTTCGTCATTCCTTGGGTGATCGTCAGGTACCTGTTGGAGAATACGCAGTGAGTTGCAGGGCCTAGGGGCGGGGCCTGGGTTGTGGGCGGAGCTACGTGGGATCAGGGCGGGGAGGGTGGAAACGGGACCAGGTGGAGAATGTGGGCGGGGTCTAAAGAGGCTAGGTGCTGGGGAAAGTGACTTAGGAGGTCTCCAGAAAAGCAGGGTGGGGTGGGTCTTAAAGAAATGTGGGTGGGCCTTAAAGAGGGTGGGCAGGGCCTGGTGAGGGACCCGGCCTGATTAGAAGTGGCTGGGGGTGGGGAGATTTGTGTGTCTCAGTTCTACCCTGCCTCCTCCAGGTGCTGGGAGCGCAACGAAGTCAAAGCCATTTGGTGGATCATTCGTACCCCCATCCTAATAACCATCTTGGTAGGGCCAGTATCGCCCACTCCAGGCTGTGTTCAGGGATTTCCCATTCTGGGGAAGAGGAAGGCCAACCTCCCGTCCCACCCCTGAACTCAATGGCTTCTGGCTCAGTCTCTCTCTCCTCACAGATCAATTTCCTCATCTTCATCCGCATCCTTGGCATCCTCTTGTCAAAGCTGAGGACACGGCAGATGCGGTGCCCCGACTACCGACTAAGGTGAGGGCCCTAGTGGGGAGGCAGACGGGGCCAGGTTCGGGGATAGGAATGTGAAGACTACCAGCAGCTTCTCTTCCCAGGCTGGCTCGGTCCACGCTGACGCTGGTGCCCCTGCTGGGTGTCCACGAGGTGGTGTTTGCTCCCGTGATGGAGGAACAGGCCGAAGGCGCCCTGCGCCTTGCCAAACTGGCCTTTGAAATCTTCCTAAGTTCCTTTCAGGTGCTCAGACAGGGTGCATGGGTTCCTCCCTCCCAACTGGGGCCTTTCTTTCCACCAGGGCACAGCGCTAGCAGCCACTGATTGGAATGTACCCATGGGATTTCATTCATTCGTCCATCCATCCATCCATCCATCCACCCATCCATCCATCCATCCATCCATCCATCCATCCATTTACTCATGCATTCATTCAGGCTTTCATCATATAAGCATAGGACAGAAAACACTTAACGAGGGTTATCCTGGGCTGGGGCAGAGGTAAGGGAGTGGGGATAGGGGTGAGGAACAAGGGCTGTGGGGTGGACTGGGCTGGGGCAGAGTTAGTTGGCACTTGCTAACTTCAAGGCTTTCTTCACCTTTGGATGGGGCTAGAGTGAGACAAGCCTAAAGGACAGAATTTAAGAAAGTAGGTCATTCCAGATGGGAAGCCAATTTTGATGCTACCCTACCCTGATAGACCCACTGAGCCCCAGTCTTCTCTCGAAAGTGGGCACAGTACCAGTCTCCCTTGGGAGGATGTGCATTCACTAAAGGAAGCAAGAGCAGATGGACACTTATGTACTGAGCTACAACCACAAATGCTAGTCCCCCTTCTGTGGGAAATACAGCCAGTCACACATCTGGGGCATCCCCGAGGCCAGAGGGCAGCTAGTATGGTGGACAGAGGTGAGGTGACTCCAGCTGCAGAGCTACTGCAGGAGCAAAGGAATCGAGAGGGGCCAGTTCCCTGAGTGTTTGTTTTTCTTTTCTCCTGGAAGAGGGCTATGTGATTTGAATTAGATTTTGATAGGATTGTAGAAAATCATAAGGATTATCTTTTTGGGCCGGGCAGTGGTGGCACATGCCTTTAATCCCAGCACTCGGGAAGCAGAGGCAGGCAGATCTCTGTGAGTTCGAGGCCAGCCTGGTTTTTCGAGACCGTCCTGGAACTCACTCTGTAGACCAGGCTGGCCTCAAACTCAGAGATCCTCCTGCCTCTGCCTCCCAAGTGCTGGGATTAAAGGTGTGCACCACCACTACCTGGCATAAGAAATACCTTTTTAAAGAAGAAGTTTTAAAAAGATTTTATTTATTCGTATATTTTATGTATGAGGGCTCTATTTGCATATATACACCTGCATGCCAGGAGAGGGCTTCAGATCCCATTATACATGGGTGGCTGGGAATTGAACTCAGGAACTTTGGAAGTGTAGCCAAAGCTCTTAACCACTGAGCCATCTCTCCAGCCACCCTAACAGCCTATGTTCATAATTGGCTTGAAAATTAATTTAAGCTAGGCATGGGGCTCAAACCTGCACTGTCTCCAGCTGGCTAAGCATGTGCTCCATTACCGAGCAAACCTCAAGCCCCATAATTAATTAGTTAAAATTTATTTATTTATTTTGTATTGATGTTTTAACTACACGTGTCTGTGCACCATGTGCATGAAGTACCCACAGAGGCTAGAAGGAGGTGGCTGATTAATTTCAGATGTTTAAGGGTTATTATGTGGATGCTGGGAATTGAACCTGGATCCTCTGGAAGAGCAGCAAGAACTCTTAATGGCTGAGCCATCTCTACAGTCCAAATTAATTAATTAGCTAGTTTATTATTATTGCTAAGCCACTATATCTTGCTATCCTGAAACTCATTCTTTTTAAAAAAAAATATTTATTTATTTATTTATTTATTATGTATACAATATTCTGTCTGTGTGTATGCCTGCAGGCCAGCAGAGGACACCAGACCTCATTACAGATGGTTGTGAGACACCATGTGGTTGCTGGGAATTGAACTCAGGACCTTTGGAAGAGCAGGCATCTCTCCAGCCCCGTGAAACTCATTCTATAGACCAGACTGACCTCAAACTCATTCACCTGGCCTGCGAGTGCACTACACCGCCCGGCTGCACTACATCTTTTTAGACATAAATACCTCAATTCTGACAACCACCACCTTTATTTTTCATGACGAAGAAATTGAGGCACAGAGTGGCAGCTTGGCCCAAATGTGGAAAGCAGGGAATCGATTTCCACACTCAGGACCCTCAACTGCTGGGCCCAGTTCTCAGCCCCTGGGCAGACCAATGCAGGGAGCTGGGAGCCAGTGAGCAGGTGTACTCGGTACCTTGATCAGGGCGGCTGGGATCAAGTGCACAGCAGCGATCTGATCTCTCCTATTCTGACAGGGCTTTCTGGTGAGCCTGCTCTACTGCTTCATCAACAAAGAGGTAGGAGAGGCCGGCCCACCCGCACCCCCTGGCGGCCGATCCGGGAACGGTGCCGCCCTGAGCGTCCCGCGTTGCAGGTGCAGTTGGAGATTCGCCGAGGCTGGCGTCACTGCCTCCTACATCTCAGTCTCCGCGATGAGCACCCCCGTCCGCACGTGGATCTTGGCCCTCCGGCCCTGCCCTTGCGTTCTGAACCCCGGGAGGTCCCCATGGGCGGCTCCTTGCCCTCTGGGTCGCCGCTGCACATGCCTGGAGATGAGGTCTTGGAAAGTTACTGCTAGGTAACGGGACTCCCGTGTCTGTGTAGCTTGTATTGAGTGCCTACTGTGTACCAGCTCCTGTGTGGGGAATGCTGGGGAACCCCGAGAGAAGGAAGACAAGGGCGGGGTGCGGGGGAGAGAACAAAGACAAGGTCCCTACGTGTATATATTTGTTGTGGAGTGACTTATGAAAAGAATTGAGATGTTTAGGACAACTGACAGGGAGGCCACTTGTGAAGATGAGACGCTTTTAAGCCATGCTTCAAAGAAGTGGAGACAGCTTGAAGAGCTGGAGGACAAGCTTCCAGGAAGACAGAATGGCATGTGAAAAGGACCTGAGAACAGGAAGGGTGGAGAAGGGCTTCCGTGGCTCGACTGGAAAATGCTGGGCCTGCAAACTGAAAAGTGGGCGGGGGTGCAGAAACTGGGATTGCATGCCAGCTGCACTGGAGAGTTTCAACTTTTTATGCGTACGACCGTTTTTGCCTGCATGGATGTCTGTGCGCACATGCATGCAGCACTTACATACACATGGAGGACAGAAGCTCCCCTTTGACAGGATGCTTGTCAGCCTTCACGGGGGTGGGGGCAACTGAATCCAACTCTCCAGTTAGCAGCGGGGCCTAGCTCCTTGGCTTTTCCCACACAGTTGTCTGCTCCACAGGGACAGATCATCAGGGGCAGGATGTAAACTGGGAGCCCAGTGAGAGGAATGCAGGTGGCTGGACCAGCAGAGGGGTGAGAAAGATTTGTTGATGTATCCCAGGAGAGGGATCAAAGGAGAATGCCAAGACAAAAGGAGGAAGATCAAAGGACTCTTTGTTTGGGGTGGGGGTGTAGTGAAGTGCTCTTGGCCTGTGTAAAGCTGAATTTATAATCTGTAGAAACCTGGCAACAGAGCAAGAGGAGCCTGGGTCACTGAGGGTTAAACATGGAACCTCTGCCGGACAAACTCTACCACCTCCCAGAGAGGACTGGGAGAAAGTTGGGGAAGAAGTCTAATTGCAGCTGGTCTACCTGCACGTGCACACACACAGGCCTCCTCAATTAGTAGGGTGTGCTGTATTTTCCCCAGGGTCCCCAGAAAGACACACCCCAGGCTTTGGTTTCTGGTGGGGTAGAGGCCCTAGCAAAGCAAGCATGAGAATCAATTGCTTCTATATGGGGTGGGAGATGAAGGTCAGGCTGGAAAGGCAGATGACCAGGGTATGCGTGTGAGGTTGTCTGCCACAGATGAATAAGGTTCAACTGGAGCCACGTTCCCACTGTGCCCTTGATTGGAAACTAAGACACATGTACAAATTAAATCTGTGTGTGTGACCCTGCTGCTTCTCTAGAAAGGCAACACAAATAGCAGAGCTGGGAGAGGACGTGGGACACCTGTAACCCCAAAACTTGCGAGGAGGGTGTGTTAAGGTCATCTTGAACTATGGAGACTTTGTCTCACACAAACAGCGAAAGGAGCAGGACCAGCCTGGTGCATTTCTTAGTTGGGCTGCTGTATTATCTGTCGGTAAATCCCCAATTTGTCTGTACTGCTCCCTTTTCTGGGGCCGGTAAGTTCAGGCTGCCCAGGACTCCACACTGCTTGACTCGCCTGAGGCCCATCCCTTCTGTCTGGGGCAGTCCCTGCGGACAGCCTCTATGGCTCTCATCCCCTGAAGCATCCTCAAAAGCAAGCAGAGGCAGAGGCACAACTGTTTCAGAGCAGTTAGGGCTAAAGTGAGATCAAATCCTTTCCCCAAAACTAATTTGTATACCTGTAATTCGACCATCTAGGAAGTTGAGGCAGGAACACTCTAAAGCCAGCCTAGGCTATGTAACAAGATCTTGTCAAAAACAGAAAGGGCCAGGGGAGACGGCTCAGTGGGTGAGGTGCTAGCCGTGCAAGTCCAAGGACTGCAGCTTCGACTCCTAGCACCCACGTATGTGGTAGTGACTGAGGAAGCTTCCCATGGGAGCCTGGGTTTCCATACATACAACTGTGTGCACATGGATCCATTCACACACTCTCCCACCTCCAGCGGGGCTTCCATACATACAAATGTTCATAAAGCCATACACATGTGAACACGCACACACGTTCCCACCACAACATGCGATTTGGGCAGCCAGATGCCCAGAACTGACACCTGTGCTGTCTGAGAGGCAGGTTAGCAGTATCCATGTCTGCTAAATAGCGCTCAGAGCAACGGGGCAAGACTGCAGCTGCGCCTGTGGCCTCGATTCCTGGGTGAAAGAACTAGGCTTCAGGGCAGCTGTGTGGACTGAGACTGCCCACCAGCTTGGCCGCATGACTTTTATTGTTTTTTTTGAGACAGGGTATCTCAATTTAGTCCTGGGTGACAAGAACACACAGATGTAAAGGCCCAGCAGCCATACCCAGCTCCCTCTGCAGCTCTTTAGGTCACCATGCAGAGTGGCTGGCTGTCTCCTCCCAACACCCATCGCCTGCTTTCCGTGCGAAGGAGGTTGTGGCGGTGATGGTGGGGGACCCCACAGAAAGGCCAACTGAGACACTAAGCGCTCTTTGTGGGTCTGGAGGCACCAATCCCAGGTTCTCAGCACAAACTGGAAGGAGCCGAGTGGGGAGCAGTGCTCTGGGGCAGAGCTCTCTTCCTCGCTGGTCCTGCCCTAGAGAGCACCTTGAGCAACAGGGGAGATCAGGTGCCACCTTCACTGGCCAAAGCATCATGGGTGCCCATCAGGTGGGAGAAGGTGGAGGGGGAGCCCAGGCTAGCTCCCTTCCGAATGCACTTCCAACAGAGCCTTTTCTTTTTGAGATGGTCTCACTATGCCTGGCTCACCTGGACTTCATCATGTAGAGCTCTGCTGGCCTTGAACTTGTAGCAATTCTCCTGTCTCAGCCTCTCAAGCTGTGAGGATCATGGGCATGCACCATGCCTGCCTTCATCTTAGTGTACTATACTGTTTATTAGGCAGTTTTTTTTTTTTTTTTTTGAGACATGGTCACACTGTAGTCCTGGTTGTCTTAGAACTATGTAGACCAAGTTGGCCTTGAACTCACATAGAAGTCTCTGCCACTGCCCCCTTCAAGAGCTGGTATTAAAGGCATATGCCACTATGATAGGCCACAAAGATCTTTTGTGTTTTGACAGGGTTCCTCTGTGTAGCTCTGGGTGTCCTGGGACTCACCATGTAGACCAGGCTGGCCTTGAACCTAGAGTTCTGCCTGCCTGTACCTCTGAAGTGCTGGGATTAAAGGCATGAGCCACCAACCCGGCATAAAGATCTATTTTCTTTATATTAAATTGCTTTTTTCTTTATTGATTTTTATTGAGCTCTACATCTTTCTGTTCTCCTCCCTGCATCTCCCCTCCCCTTCAGCCCTCTCCCAAGGTCTCCATGCTCCCAATTTACTCAGGAGATCTTGTCTTTTTCTACTTCCCATAAAGATCTATTTTTAATCTATGTATATTTATGTGCAGGTGCCCAAGAAAGCCAGAAAGGGTGTTGGATCCCCAGGCCCTATAGTTATGGGCAGTTGCCAGGAGTGGGTGCTGAGCACTAAGCTCAGTAGTTACTGAGCCATCTTACCAGCCCCAGCTGCCTTCTTGATGCAGCGTGATTATTCTCTAGCTGGGTGACTCTGGGGCAGGTCAATGCCCTTTCTGAATCTCAGTGGTCTCACCTGAACAAGCTCTGTAGCCTGGTGACACAGGCCTGTTATCCTGGCTGCTTGGAAGACTATGGCAGGAAGATTGCAACTTTAAGACCAGCCTGGGGGGCTAGAGAGATGGCTCAGCGGTTATGAGCACTGGCTGGTCTTCCAGAAGTCCCTGAGTTCAGTTCCCAGCAACCACATGGTAGCTCACTACCACCAATATGAGATCTGGTGCCCTCTTCTGGCCTGCAGGTATACATGCAGACACTGTATACATAATAAATACATTAAAAAAAAAAAAAAAAAAGACCAGCCTGGGAAACTTCCTGAGAAGGTCCCTGTCTCAAAACAAAAAGTGAATGGAAGAACTGGGGAGATGGCTCTGTGGTTAAGAGCACTTGTTGTATAAAATGAGGACCTGAGTTCAAAACTGATGCACACACCCACAGCATGGGGTGCAGATGGGATGCTGGAGCTTGCTGGCTGCCAGCCTAATTCTGCTCAATGAGAGGCTCTGTTTCAGAGCAGTGCCAGAGGCCACCTATCGTCCTCCTGTACATACACATGGAGAGCCTGCTGAGCACCTGAGACCTGGGTTCAGCCCCCAGCACCACAAAAGAAGAGGAGAGAGATGGCTCTGGAGTTCGCACCAAGACTGTTCTTTCTGGCAGCCACTCAAGGAACACAGATCTTTATGGACAAAGCACCACAGGCCTTCCCTGCTACAGGCTTCCCAGTCTCACACAGGGCTCACAAGGGCAGGTAGGTAGCTGGAGATGGTAAGCAGTCTAAAGCACTGGCTGCTCCTGCAGAGGACCCAGGTTTGGTTCCGAGCACCAACATGGCTGCTTACCACCATCTGTAACTCTACTTCCTGGGATCCAACCTTTCTTTTCTGGCCTGAGGGCACCAGGCACAGACATATATGCAAGCAACACACCTGTACATGTTTCATATGTATTTTAAAGAAGGAAAGCTATCCCGAACTCAGGCCTATGATCTCCTGCATCCACCTTGTTTTGGAATTACCTGGAGGGAGTGGGGACAGAGATAGAGACAGAATAGAGGGCCCCGTGTACAGCCTAGAACAAGTCAGGGTTCTTCCATAATCCTCTTAAAATAAAGGGCCACCCTTTCCCACTACAATCCCTCCAAATTTACTACAGAATCCCTCTGCCCACAATACACAAAAGATAAATTAAGGTCATTTCTGCCCAAACTGTCTCCTTCACAGATGGGGCAGAGATGTGCTCACCTACTCATGGGTTCTGTCCTAGTGCCCAGACCATGACAACCTGACTCTCCATCCCAGAGTCTATCCAGTTCACAAAACCCAAAGGCAGACAAGACCATTGAAAACAAAACAACAAAAAACACAGGGTTTTATTTCCATCCCATTGGGCAGGGCTCGGCAGGGCAGGGAGCAGGCTCTCATGGAAGAAAGAGGCCTCTACTCTACTTGCCGGCGATGAGCGGGTTTCGTAGCACCACGATGACTGAGTCCCCACGCAGGAACATCTTGGAGATGTAGCGGTCCTTGTTGACAGGCTTGGACTTCTTCTTGCCCTTGCCGCTCTTGGGGACCTCAGTCCACATCTCCTTTACATTCTCCAGCACCATGTTGCAGTGCCTGGTGGGGTAGGGGCGGGGAAGAGGCTGGAGTGAGAGGGGGCATTCTTAGTGCCCACCTCTGCCTGGGTGAGCCCGCCAGCAGTAGGCATCTAGGCTCCAGGGTGAGGATGGAACAGGCTGCCGGTGCCATCTCTGTCCATTCTTTTTAAGACAGGGTTTCTCTCTGTAGCCTTGTCTGTCCTCGAATTCACAGAGATCCGCCTGCCTGTCTCCTGAGTGCTGGGATTAAAGGCGCATGTCACCACTGCCAGCGCTCAGCTCAGTTCTTTTTTTTTTTTTTAAATATTTATTTATTTATTATGTATACACTATTCTGTCTGTGTGTATGCCTGCAGGCCAGAAGAGGGCACCAGAACCCATTACAGATGGTTGTGAGCCACCATGTGGTTGCTGGGAATTGAACTCAGGACCTTTGGAAGAGCAGGCAATGCTCTTAACCTCTGAGCCATCTCTCCAGCCCCCTCAGCTCAGTTCTTAACTGAGGCTTCAACAAAGGCCTTGACCCCTCTCCACCTCAGTTTCCCCCTCTCTGAAATGGAGACAATATTTCACAGGGCAGATGTGAAGACTGATGAATGAATACAGCATTTCTGAAGCATCACCCTGGCAGAGTAAAGGCAACCAAAATGGCTGCACTTCTGCAATCAACTCTAAGGACTTAGGGAAGTAGCAGGAGAGAACAATTGTCCCCTCCACACCCAGAGGGTCCCAGGGCGCGGGGGTTAGGCTCCCAACACATGCAGTCCAGTGCTGTGCCATCCTGTCCTCATGGAGCCAGGTAGCCATGTGTTTACACTGGATCAGCTCCTCCCAGAAATGCTTGCAAATATGAACAAAGTACAATGATAGACACATATGACTAGATGAGTGGACATAAGGCTACTCACCACCATATATGTATGTACCATATATATATACACACATAAGGTAGTGATATACATATATATACGTACATATATATGTATGTGTATGTATGTATATATATATAGCAACGAACTAGGTAGGATGGCGTATCCCATGCCTGTAATCCAGCACATGGGATATACACAGAAGACAAATTTAAGTTGGGAAGTGGTTCACACCTTTTTTCCCAGCACTCAGGAGGTGGATCTCTGAGCAGCCCGGTCTACAGAGTAAGTTCCAGGACAGCCAAGAGTACACAGAGAAATCCTGTCTCAAATAACAATTAAAGGGGGGGGGGGCACCTATTTTCTGGTTTTTTATTTTTGATTGTTCAGGGCTGGCCTCTAACTCATGCTGAGACTAAGTGTTTGTCACTATGTCCAGTTTACTGCCACAATGCTGCTGGTATCACCTTTCCTTCAGGCACTCAGACCCGTCCTCCCTCGGCCAGCACTCACCTGTCAAAGGCCTTCACCCGTCCCAGGAGCTTCTTGTTGTTGCGACAGTTAATGAGCACCTGTGTGTTGTTCTTGACCGACTGCGTGAGCACTGAGAGGGGGCCCGTGTTGAATTCCTCCTCCTCCCGCTTCTGCAGCTCCTCTGGGGTCATCTCACTCTTGGGTTTATTGAGGAGACTCCTGAATAGAGAGGCCATGGGTGAGATGGATGACATTGGGAGCGTGAGCGATCAAAGCCACTGTCCAGTGTCCCCTCAACCTGGCCCCAAACACCCTCCCTGGCTCAGTTTTCTCTGGAGGTGAGAGAGATATTTCCAAGTTGACCTGCTCCAGTTCATCAACCTCCAAACCTCTTCCACCTACTGTGTCCCTCACAGCTTCACTGATGGCAGTGCCATTCAGGGGGCTCTCTAAGCTAAACCTCTACTATCAAACTAATTTCTATTGTGGGGACAGGATCTCATTATAGCTCGGGCTAGCCTTCAACTTGTTATGTAGCTAAGGATGACCTTCAATTCTCAGTTCTCCTGACTCCACCTCCCAAACTCTGAAATTACGGGGGTCCACTGTCATGCCCGGCACTGGATTCTTTTCTCAACATCTTGTTATCTGCCTTGACAACGTATCCAGAACCTGGCCATTTCTATCCATGGGCTCAACTTCCATCATCTCTCTCCAGGGATCCCCACAACATCCGACCGTGTAAGCCTGGCTGGCCTGGGACTTAGACTCTCCATCTCTGCCTCAAGAGTGCTGGGATTACAGGCCTGTGCCACTAGGCCCAGTTTGTGTGGCGCTGAGGGCTGAACCCAGTGCCCATAGTAGCCAAGTACTCTCTATCTTATAACTCCAGCCCAAGTACTGCGCTTTCAGGGTGTCCTTTTGAGCTAGTTACTCAACTTCTTCATTCACACTCTTGATCATCTAACACGCTGTACATACCTGTTCATTATGGTCTTCCTAACCCATTCCTTTTACAAGGCCCACTAAGATTTTTCTTCCCTTGGTGGCAAGGGTCTTTTACTCACCTTGTGTCTTAACCTATAAACAGGCTATGTAACATCTGCTCAATGAATAAACACACCAAAATTCCTCAGTAGCTTGCTACTCTGAAGGTCTCTCTCGATTAGGTCGAAAAGCCACCTGTCTGATCTCTAATTTATCCTGGTTAAGTCCCTCACCATTATTATTGTTTTTTAGAGAGCCTTTCACTATTTTTAACAGAATTCCCTATAACTCCCGCCAAGCTCTTTATCCATAAGACCACTCCCATTTAAAATTACTACTACTTTTGGAAACGGTCTCACTATGAAGCCCAAGGCTGGCCACGAACTCGCAACCTCCTGCCTCAGAATCAGCCTGGGATTCTAGGCATGTACCACCAGGCTCAGCTTTGCTCTTACAGTCATTTTCACAAGACTCAGTACCTAGGAGGGTCCCACGCCCGTTAGGGAACAAAGCTGTCCCCCTCCGGAACTCATAATGGTCCAAGGCCCCACGCCTGTTCTCAAACACCTCAAGAGAAAAGACACTACTTTTGTTTGAGGAACTCTGCCCCCAGCTATGAGCACCCCACTTCAACCGTTAATCTGCTAAACTGTCCCCTTCCACCTTCCAGACCCTGCCGAAGCCCCGCCCGGCCTCACATGGTGGAGGTTTCGCTTGCAGATCACTCCCGCCGGCAGCGCGTTGCTCGGGTCTCCCGAGTAGAGCGAGAGGAGGGCGGGACTTCCGCCTCCTGCGGCTCACTTCCGTCGGCGCCTGCGCACTCCACCTCAGCGGAGATGGGCGTGCCCTGTCTTCATAGTGACCAATTCGCTGCGCGCCGCCTTAGAAAATGCCTAGATGATCCGAGGCCATTGAGGAGCACAGTAGGGTCTGCGCTCAAGACTAGGAGAGGGAAATAAAGGGGGGCCTGAGTCGTTAGTTCCCTGTCCGACAGTCTAGGAGGACGGGGCACGCAGCGCCGTTTCCAAACACCCGCCGACTCTTCGTCTTGGGGGCGTGGTCTCTGGAGAACCAATCGACTCCCTGATTGAGCCACAGTTCCTTGATGTGTTTCTTGAGTGACATCGTAAGGGGCGTGGCTTCACGCACAGTCAGACGCAACTCATTGGCTGTTTCTCTTCCATGGGGCGGGCCCCATGGTTTCCGCGCTGCCTTTTGATTTGTACGACGTTTAGTCCAACCAATTGCAATCATCTGGCGGGACGACGCAGCCACTCTCCTTTTTTATTGGTTTTTGTAATCCACAAGGGGCGGATCTTGGCCTAAACTCAAACTACAGTCCAGGGATTGGTTTCAGGGCAAAGCTGCCATGAGTCTCGGGAGCCGCGGGCGGCCCCGACAGCGACCCGGGGATCGGGGCCTCATGCAGCCACCCTCTCTTTCCAAGCGCCGCCTGATACCGCGAGTGCGGCTCCTGCCTTTGCTGCTATTTGCGCTGGCCCTAGGCTTGGCTTTCTACATCGTCTGGAACGGCTGGCACCCTGGGGTTCAGGAGCTGTCACGGAACCGGGATCTGCGGGTGAGGTCTGGCTGGGGCCCTGACACCGTCGTTCCTCCATTTCCTTTCGTATAGACTTTCACGTTAACGTGGCTATATGGCCCTTGCCTCTGGTGCCATCTCTTTTTCCATCATTTGAACCATGTCCCTTTCCAACAGACTAAGGCTTCAGGCTTGTTTTGTAATAGCACTTTCTGAATATGAAGGGTCAGCATAGCAACACTGGTAGATCTGAGTTCTACGCCCCAAGCCATCTATTTAGAAGAGTCTCCATCACCGGGTTTTCGTTTTTCCCGTAAGAACTGCAGTAAGATGAACCAGATTTGCTTTGAAGACTTTTTCCTAATCTAGGGTATATCTATCCTTCAAGTCTTTGATGGATCGCCAAGAAGAGTCAGGGATCCTAGGGGGGCAACGTCTCCCCGGAAAGGGTGGGAATGGGGTTGTCTTCATTTTTCTTTTCCCCATCCCATTTCCCTACCAAGGCCGCGCTGATTGGAAGCCTTCCAGAAGCCAAGCTGCGGAGGGTGGTAGGGCAGCTGGATCCGCAGCGTCTCTGGGGAACTTTCCTGCGTCCCCTGTTGGTTGTGCGACCCCCGGGTAGTCCTGGCAATCTCCAAGTGAGAAAGGTAAAGGGTCTTATTTCCAATCCCTAAACTCCTTTCCCCAACCTTCCAGGAAATGGAACTCAGGCATCTAAGATCCCGGAACAGCCAGGAGACAGTTCCCAAACTATACAACTCCCTCCCACCAAACGCTTACTTTATATTAGGTACAGCAATGTATTATCTAGTGAGGGCGGAAGTAATATGATCTCCGCTATACAAATGGGGAAATTGAGGCCCAGGGGATATTCTATTGAAGTTAGAATTCAAGATTGGCTTCAGTGTGGGTGGTGAAGCATTGTTTTAGATATTGTACTTAGGATCTATCTTAGTTGGCATAGTTTTCTTAACCTTTCTGGGACTCAGTTTCCTCATCTGCAGAATGGGGACATTCACTCACATTGTTGACTTCATAGGGATCCTAGAACAGATTTGGCACATAGTGAGAGTTTTTTAAGAGGAAGTCAGAGCATGTCTCAACAGGAGAGCACTTGCTTAGAATTCACCATTGTGAGGTGGAGGTGTGGCTCAATTGGTAGAAGACTGCTATAGTGTCCACCAGTGTAGGGCTGTGGCTGTGTAAGCGGCTTGCAGGAAACCCTTGGTCCAACCTCAGCACCATGGAGAGAGGCAGACAGACCCAGAGGGAGAGGGTGGAAGGGGGGGGGGGATGAGAATGAGGGAGGGAGGAAAAGAGGGAGGGGGAGAGAGAGAGAGAGAGAAAGAACACTGTCTGAGCTGGTTGTGGTGAAGGCCTGAGTCTATAATCCTTCCAGGAAGCAGAAGCATGATCTGGGGTTCTAGACCAGCCTCAGCTACACAGCAAGTATGTAGCCTGGATTATGTAGTGAGCCATAAATTTTGTTAGTAGCTGGGTGGTGGTGGTACACACCTTCAATTCTGTCTGTACTTGGCAGACAGAAGTAGTCAGATCTCTGTGAGTTTGAGGCCAGCCTGGAGTATAAAGTGAGTTCCAGGACAAGCTCCAGAGCTACACAGCTACACAGAGAAACCCTGTCTCAGAAAACCAAAAGAAAAAAAAGCAAAGAAAAAGAAGGGGGGAAAAGGTGTGGTTACCCCCCATCTGGCACGCAGCTGTTCCTCAGCAGAAGCGTTTGTTAAGGGAAACTTAACCCAAAGTGGGACTTTCTAGCCACCCAGACTGCTCTGCGTGGCTCCAGTCACAAGACCCTTCTCCCCACCTCCTCCCCAGTCCCTGTCCACCCTCCTACCTCTCTCTTGCCACTAGTTCCTGGAGGCCACGTTGCGATCCCTGTCAGCAGGCTGGCATGTGGAACTGGACCCTTTCACAGCTTCAACACCCTTGGGGCCACTGGACTTCGGGAATGTGGTGGCCACGCTTGACCCGGGAGCTGCCCGGCACCTCACCCTTGCCTGCCATTATGACTCTAAGTTCTTCCCTCCTGGGTCGCCCCCCTTTGTGGGGGCCACAGATTCAGCTGTTCCCTGTGCCCTGCTTCTGGAGCTAGTCCAGGCCTTCGATGTGATGCTGAGCAGAGTCAAGCAACAGGTGAGAGTGGGGAAGGGTTGCCTGTCCCTAGCCCACATCCTCCCTTGCTTCTGTCATTTTATCTGAGATAGGGTTTCATTAGGACGGAGCCCAAGCTAGCCTTGAACTCAGCCATTCTTCTGCAGCAGTGGGGTGGCAGGCGGCCACATACCCCACCGTCACCCTTGTTTTCTCCAGCCCCCACTGATACTTTTGTTTTCCAGCATATGAACTGCGACACAAGGATTCCCACCCCCACCAGGTCTCACGTAGGCCACACTAGCATCGAACTCAATAATGAATTTAAATTTCTGCTCCTCTTGCTTCCACCTCCTGAGTGCTGGCATTACAGCCACACATTAGTTGGGGTTTCTTTTTTTTTTTTTTTTTTTTTAAAGATTTATTTATTATGTATACAACTTTCTGCCTCCATTTATACCCACACACCAGAGGAGGGCGCCAGATCTCTTTACAGATGGTTTGGAGCCACCATGTGGTTGCTGGGAATTGAACTCAGGACCTCTGGAAGAGCAGACAGTGCTCTTAACCACTGAGCCATCTCTCCAGCCCCTAGTTGGGGTTTCTATTGCTGTGAAGAGACACCATGACCACGGCAACTCTTATAAAGGAAAACATTTAACTTTTCTGTAATTACAGAAAACTGGCTTACAGTTTCAGAGACTTAGTCCCTTATCATCATGGCAGGTGACAAGGTGGCATGTAGGTAGACAGGCACTGGAGAAGGAGCTGAGAGTTCTACATCTTGATCTGCAGGCAACAGGAAGTGAACTATGTACTACAGTCAGTGTAGTTGGAGCACAGGAGACCTCAAAGCCCACCCCCACAGTGACACACTTCCTCCAGCAAGGCCATACCTATCCCAACAAAGCCACACCTCCACTCCCCATGGGGCCATTTTCTTTCAAACCACAGTATTTACCTGCTGGGGCACCAGGACTGGGGCATTGCTATGCTAGGTCTGACTCTGTTTGGGGGACTTTGGTTAGGAAAGCAGTGGGTGCTTTATGCACCACTTAATTAGCCAGACTAGTAGGCACATGGAGGATGGTGGTGCTGAGTGTGGGGCCTGGCTCAGGAGCTTCAGAGGAGAAGAATATAATATGTGCCTACAGATTGTTCTTGTGATATGTTGGTGAAGAATGTGGCTGCTTTTTGTCCTTGTCCAAAGAGTCTGCCCGAGGCTAAAGTGAAGAGTTTTAGATTAATTCTACTGGCAGAGGAAATCTCAAAACAGCTCAGTATATATTCTGTTGTGTGGTTACTCCTGTTGACTCTCAGGAAGATTTATAATGAAAAGGAGCAAGCTGAGCAAGTAAAAATACAAAATGTACAGATCGAGGAGAAAGGGGGGGACCAGGAAATGGAATGGAACTAATTCCTGTATTCAAGGAGAGAAACAGATTAAGAAATACAATAAGTGGAGTGAAATGGTTTGGTATCTTTTCTCAGTGAGGCATTCTCATCTTGCTTGCTCTGCATCTGGCTGGTAACTGTCACTACCTTTCCTTACCCCTGAATTCTCCTAGTCTGGTGGCCAATAAGTGTTTTATTAAACTAATACAAGTGACAAATCTTTACAGGGCACAAAAGCATTAATCCACAGCAAGAGTGGGGACCTCAGGGGAAAATGCCACCCAGCTAAGTTTCCAACTTGTGAGAAGGAACTAAAGAACAGTTTAGGTCCAGGTGTGATGGCGCACATCTTTAATACCAGAACTCTGGAGGCAGAGGCAGGTGGATCTCTGAGTTTGAGGCCAGCCTGGTCTACAGAGTGAGTTTCAGGATAGCCAGGCTTAGGCAGTGAAGGAAACCACTGAAAACAGAAAACTGGTGAAGATGTAACTGAACAAGGGGGCCATGTCCCAGCACCAGCAAGCTGCAGAACTTGGCAGCTTCAGCCACATGGTTCTGGCTTTAGAGTCAAGAATAGAAGAAAAGTGCTAGGGAACTTTCCTCTGGGACCAAGGAAAGCTGCTGAGGCCAGGCATGTGTGAAGGGCATCCCTGCATGGAGGCCTAGAGATGCCATTGTGTGAAGCTGTGAAATTAAAGCCTGATTGCCTTGGAGATCCCTACATGTTAGAGATGCCAGAGCTGCGGGACACCTGCCAAGGGGAGCTGCTAACAGAAGGTAGAGCCAGCCCGGGAGAAAGAAGTGTGGTACAGTCCACAAAGCTGGAAGGGCTGGAGCTCGCTTTGATATCTGACATAGTGACGCAGAGTCTGGAGCTTGCCCAGGATTCTGGTCTTGCTTTGGTCCAGTATTTCTTCCCTATATTCCCTTCCCTATGTTTTAGAATGGTAATGTATATCCTGTGCCGTTATACATTGGAAGTATGTGATCTGCTTTTTGATTTTGATTTTGAAGGATTACGGTTAAGAGATTGCATGAATCTCAGAAGAGACTTTGAGCTTTAGATTTTTAAATACGTTTGAGACTGTTATAATACGGACTTTTGAAATTGTACTGAATGTATTTTTGCAATATGATTATGGCTACAAGCCTTTGGGGGTAAGGAGTGGAATGTGGTGGTTTGAAAGAAAATGGTCCCCCAAGAGCGGCAGTATTAGGTGTGACTTTGGAGTAGGTATGACATTGTTGGAGGAAGTGTGTCACTGTGGAGGTGGGCTTTGAGGTTTGCTATACTCAGGATCCTCCCAGTGTGACAGTTACTTTTGCTGCCTGCCGATCAACATGTAGAATTCTCAGCTCCTTCTCCAGTACCATGTCCGCCTGCACTCCACCATGTTTCTCACCATGACAATAATGAACTTAACCTCTGAACTGTAAGCCACCCTAAATGAAATGTTTTTCCTTTATAAGAGTTGCCGTGGACATGGTGTCTCTTCACAGCAATAGAAACTTTTTTTATTTTATTTTATTTATTTATTTATTTTTGGTTTTTCGAGACAGGGTTTCTCTGTGGTTTTGGAGCCTGTCCTGGAACTAGCTCTTGTAGACCAGGCTGGTCTCGAACTCACAGAGATCCGCCTGCCTCTGCCTCCCGAGTGCTGGGATTAAAGGCGTGCACCACCGTCAGGCAGCAATAGAAACTCTTACTAAGACAATGCAACAATGTACCACCATGTCTTCTTTATGCTGAAACCAGGTATTCATTGATGCTCAGTAAGTCCTCTGTCGACTGCGCTACAACCCCAGCCTCCCACAGGGATCTTTCTATATCTTAAATGGCAGATCCTGCCCTTCTGTGTCCAGAAATCCCCCCATCCCATTCTAACTATAAGCAGAGTCCTGAGGGGTCCACGGGAAGCATGCTGTTGCTCCCTCCCCCATCCTAAC